CAATAGCCACGCAGAAGGAGCCCTTTCCCTCACCCAGCGGCCCATCCCAGCAGGATTCCATGACCCTACGCAAGGGGGCCACTGGTTAAAACGTGGACGCCTCGTTAGCCAGCTGTTTGTGCCCAGAGCAAAGTGGAAGCCATTTCTGTAGGCCCTACAAAAACATGTTGCTTTCCCCCTCCCAAGCGACACAAGCCATGAACTGGTATGTTTAAAACAATCCTGGAAATAGGTCCTTCAGGGGGCTTCCCGAGCGAAGCTCAGTCGCATTCAGCAATTTGGAGTCGCCCACCAGCATCTCCTTTAAAGGAGTCATTCCGTTATGCGGCCTCCTTCAAAATAACTTCATCCTCCAGCCGTCCCCCAGGACTTAGCATCGCAGGCAACCTCTCCTCTGTCACGGAGAGGCGGCCGAGGGGTCAGCAAGTGGGGCATGACGGCGAGCTACCTCACCCCTTTGCCGCTCTCCTTCGTGACAATCCCAGAGAGGAAAGTGATGCTGCTACAGCAAGTGCCCGGGTGCAGCTCAGCCTGGCGCAAGAAGCAATCCCGGGAGACACCTCTCCCCTCCCCCGCCAAGCCCCACAAGTCCCAGAGGAAGCGCACGCGGAGCAGATGAGAAGTGAGATCCAGAGAGGCACAAAGAAAGGCGGCTGGGAGCAGAGCCGCTCCCCCGCTCCCCCTTCACACTGCATCTTCACAGCTGCCATTGCTGACATGTGGCGGATCCTGCCAGATAAAAAGAAAATTCAGGCTGCTCAAAGTTTCCCTTTTTGCCAGTTCTATTCCTGATAAGTGCAGTGCCTGCACGGAGGCTGATAGACGGCCTATCGCGGCGGTTAGCTCGAAAGGAACACCCTATCGCTCCAGCATCGCCGGACTGCCATCAACTCCCAGCCACACAGAAATTAATATCGCTCCAATTACCAGAATAGAGATGGGCTGGGAGAAGGTGATAATAAAATCTCTTTTACATAAAGAATGCAAATAACTCACTCTGGCGAGGGCGGGGGAGGGAGACGAGAAACCGGTGCCACTTTCCACGCACACCTTCAGCCGACTGAAAGACGACATGCAGGGCGGCTCCGAGCCTCTCCTATTTCACTGCTGCTTCGGCCTCTCGGGCAGCTGGAGAGGGATGCTGGGGCCAAGCGTGGAACTCTCTCCCCCACTCCTTTTAGATCCGTTTGTATGCAGTGTCATTAGGGACATAGGACCAGAAGGGATTTCCCGTGCCAGAACAGGCAGCCCCATCACACTGTGGATCATTCTCCTCCCAGCTTAAAAGTGACAAGCGCTCTAGCCCCCAACGCCAAGCGTGTGCGTGCACACACGCTGCTGAGCCCCAAACTCTGCTCAGGACTCAGAAGCAACCCTACAAAAACAAACCCAAGGTGAGTGGCTCAGCACCAGCCAGCAACCTCGTCGCAAAACAGCATTCCCAGGATGGCACTCGCGGGGAACCTGACCAGCTTGCCCAGGGCATGTTGTGGAGGAAAATTACACGGGAGATTTGACCTCCCAGCTTCCTAAGGGGTGCTGAGCAATGAGACAAAGCTGCTGAAGGTATTGTGGAAAATACGATGACAATAACCCAATTAAATTAAGTATCCAACCCCTTAATTATCTCCCCTGGCACTGCCAACTGCTGGGATGTGGGTGGAATAGGAATACCTTGCTTTTTATTCCCTGGCTTGGAGGGGTCCTGATCATGCTACTTCCCCCGCCTCACAACCCCTTGACCTCCCCCGTCCAATTCATTCCACCAGGTGACCAGTCAGCCAGAGGAGAGCGGATCTGAATATGGGGGATAGGAAGCGGGGAAGCTGCTTGGCTGGAAAGCAGTGCTGTAAAAGGAAGAGGCAGAACAGCCTGGGCTGAGGCTGCTTATTAGCAATTAGGCTAATGAGGATGAGAGATCGGAGAAAAAGAACACATCACGTCACCTCTCCTCCGCCTCCCTCCGTGGTCACTAGGGCAAAGGGCCGGGGTGGGAGGGAGCCGATAAAGAGGAGATTGGCAAGGTGGAAGCCGCACAGATACTTCCTGCCAACGCATCCAGGAAGGGCCAGGGATATCAACTGGAGCACATTTCCCTTCCTTGATGAGTTTAAACGGGGGAAGGGGGGGAGGGAGGGGACCACTGACAGTATCAGCAGCAAACAGCAGAGAGATTCATGGGGGGAGGAGGCTGGTTAACTCTCCTGCCCCAGCCAAGGGATGGGCTCAGCGCTCTGCCAGGCCCTTCCTATCCCCAATGGGCATGGCCCCATAGGGAAGGTGGCAGGACTGATCCCCAGACTTGCCACAGCGCCACCCCACCACTCACACTCCTGGTCGCTTTGCACCAAGAGAAATGTCTGCCCCATAGGCGGATAGGCAGGGTTAGCCATGGCATGGGGCCTGCTCAGTGCCACGGAGCTTGTCGCCAGTGGGTATTTCACCAGATGAGGCAAAGCCGCTGGCGACGGGGTCATGGGAGCTGCACGTGTGCCCTGGCACTCGGCGTTTCCCAGCTGCTTCAATAGCAGAGCCGGGACAATCTCCAATGTGACCGACAGGCCCCGCCTTAGCCAGGCAGCCCTAAGCAGGGGCCAGAGGCCAGTCTTTCGTCAGGTGGTCTTTGCCATGGGTGGCACCTAGGGAAGGGAGGAAGGGCCTGATCGATAAGGCACACGCAGGCAAAGCCACAGAGCCGAGAGCTTCACGGGCCCTTCTCCCCAGAGGTCCAAAGTCAAACCGATAGCAATCGAGCCCCAAGGTCACCCCTTCCCAGCATGCAACGAGGGCTCGAGCAGAGAGAGGAGGGAAACACAGTTCTTCTTTTTTTAAAAACCCAACTTAACATCTCTCTTTCCCCAGCTCTCCCCCCAGCCCTTCCCTCACCCTACCCCCATCCCATCCCATGCAGCTCCACTAGATAGGAGTGTGACACACTGGGGAGTATAAGGGAGACCTAAATGGACATTTGGAGCATCTTCACCTACGAAGAGGACAGCCCAATGGTCCTCTCAGTCGCAAGGAGGATATCCACACATACTGCACGTCTGTTAAAGTGTCAGGTCTACAGCGATTCTCGCCCAGATTTGGGGGAGGGGACCTTCCACCTGGGCACCATGGCCAAACATTACCAAGCCAAGACCGTAAGCTCCTTGGGAAGAGACTGTGTCTTCCACTTGGTTTCTAGATACCACAGCGATAGGCCCACCAAGGGCCCAGATAGCGTGCACAGCACTGTACTGTCTGGCAGGCATCACGCAAAGACATTCAGACTCAAAAAACAGAGATGACAAGACAGGAAGACGGCGATATACGGCTATAGACACTTCTTGGGGTTTTGATAACATCACTAACCACTCTAGCTCTCTTCTTGTGGTTGCCATGATGCTATCAAAGCCCCACTGTGACTGTGTAGGAACGTAGACCAATGGCCAGAGCTGGCATCGCAAATCCAGTCATGTAGCGGTCAGCACTGGGTGATTTTTTCCAGAGGAAGGGAAAAAACCATCATCCCTGGATCACCTTGCCAAGCGTGCAACGCTGTCTATCGACAACTCCTCCTTCCTGACACCACATGCTACCTAGCTCTCACCCTGAAGCATCTTCAGCGTGATATCAGCATGCAGTTATAACCCAGGCACTACATTAATACAAATAAACAATTAATAGCTATTCAAGTCCTTTCAAAAGAAATCCAGCTGCAGTAGTGGCTCCTGCAACAGTATCGGCTCCTGCAACAGTATCTGACTCTGCTCTCCTGCAGCAGTGAGTTCCACAGGTTGGCTGCAAGTTTACATCTAGTCCTATTAGTGGTAAATATACTGTCCTTCACCATGTCATCAAATGACCCCATACTCTTCTGTTAAGGGACAGGACCTGTGTCCCCTCTGGCTCTTTCCTTTCTCCTGGCTAAATCCTGAGGTTTGTAATATTCAATCATGCACAAGTCCTACCAGACCCCGATCTCCTTTGTTACCCTGCTCTGAGCCTCTTTTAGGATCAAAGACACCTGTTTTGAGGCTGGAGGCAACAAAGCCTGCAAGCCACACCACAAATGAGTTGAAGGTACAGAACAGGGGAGTGAATGCAGCTCCTGCTTCAATCCCAGGTTTAGGCCACCAGCTGTGCTTCCTTTGTTCTCTGGCCTGCGTTCTGCAGGAGATCAGACTTTCTGATCACAGTGGTCCCTTCTGGCCTTGGAATTTAGGAATATTAGGGGGTGGGGGGACATGACAAATGTGGCATTCGGATTTGGAATTCAGATTCCAACCCTCTCCCCTCCTTCAGATGCAGGAAGTCTGGGGGTGCTCGGATCCCGAGTCTCTGCTGCCTACAATGGCTAAATACACCATTGACGGTGTATTTCTCTCAACGCCCCCATTTCTTGGGCCACACATTCAAGTAGTTTGTAACTTGCCCCGCTCATTGCTAAATCCGTGTGTGTCGGAGGAGGCTGGAGGGGTTGGGTTTCCTCCCCATGGAGCATTATTCAGGTTTCCTTGTTGACATCAGGAGACTGCTCACCCGCTTCCCCACGCCCTCCAGCTGTCACCCCAGCGTCACTGTGTGACCAGACCTCCGGAGACATTGGCGCCCATTCTTCTCAAAAGGTCACTCGCCGGCCGAGCTACTCCCAGCCGCCTCCACGGAGCCCTTTGAAAGGCAAGCGGCCCGGGAAGACACCGACATTCAAGACGTTCGTATCTGCCTGGTCATACATGACTGGCCAACCAAGGAAGAGCCCAGAGACAATGAGCAGCATGAGAGAAAAGTCAAAGCCATCAAACCCGGCAGCCAGGCTGGCCGCTGCCTCCATCCGAGGTCGAGCCACAGCACTGTTCAGCTGGAAGACGGCGTAGGACATGCTCCTCACAGGGAGAGCACAGGGGCCGAAACATGGCACTACACGCTGCTGAGCCCTCCCTCCTCGAGGGTGCAGGGTGTCCCAGCAGGGTTCAGGATGGGGCAGAGGACATGTTTTGGGGATGGGGGGGATTTACCTGGCCCGTTCCATGGATTCAGCTCCTGCAGATTTTCTCCAGGCTCCTGCTTTTTTGACTCCTTGGGACTTTCCGAGGCTTCTCTGGACTCTGCTTCTGGAATGGAAGAAACGGCCGGTTACCGTGTCACACAAGCTCAAGAGGAACGTCAGCTACAACTTCCCACCATGCTGGGGACTCCTCAGCCAGCCCAAAAGCCCAGCGGAAAAGGGCCATCACAAACGGGACACAATAGCAAGTGATGCCCGAGGATGTTCTTCACCGAGTAGAACTCCACGGCCTTTCCCCACCTTACTCATCTCTCGTTCACTTCCCAAACCTCCAAGCTCAATCCCGATCAGCCCATGATGCCAGCCTCCATCGCCCAGTTGCTACCTTTTCAAACAAACCCCTCCGTCCTTTCTCCCAGGCTGCCCTCTGCGCCTGGGGAGGGCGTCCTGTAAACACCTGCAAAGCCATCTCATCCTCTCCCTTCAAATCTCTCCTCAAGCCTCTGCTCTCTGCAGTGAAGCCTACAAAAAACCTCAACAATGGTTAGGCAGCTGGGGCGCTGAGATCACAGCCTGTCATTCTGGCTTCCTTGTGCTCCCCCATTGGTCCGTCCCCATCGGTCGCCTCTTGCCTTGTACTTGGATTGGAAGCTGCTTGGGCATGGACTGTCTTTCTTCTGCATTTGTAAAGCACCTAGCGTCTGATCCATGGAGATCTCCTAGGCATTAAGATACCGCCAATACTAATAAAATGCCCAGTCCTTCCTGTCTACTCTGCAGGTGTTCCCAGTGCAAGCGAGCAGGAGGGAGCCTTTCCATCCAGGACTCCTGGGTTCCTAACCGTGAACAAGGGAATAGCAGCCATCTTGAAACCCTTCTTAAGCGGGTATTAGTCCATATGCAACCCCACTGCTGTGCAAATCGACGCGGCTGGTAGTTCCTGCTGCGGGCACAGCCAACCACTTGAACAGCGGACGTGCCCCAGGTCAACACTTAGGGGTTCCGGGAAAGTCCTGCAAGGGCAGCATCCACTGACGTAGCAGCATGCTCGTGTATGGGGCAAGTGAAATGGGGCCTTGTGACTAGAACACAACGGAGGGCTGGACCCAGGTCAGAGGAGTACTGGCAAAGCGGGGTGGTGAGCAGCAGCCTGGGAGATAGGATTAGAGTAACAAGTGGGGGTTGGGCACCAGCAGGGGGCGGGGTCAGGACTGATGTGCGCTGGCCGATCGAATGGGAAAGGACCTGGAATGGACTCGTATTATCCACGCACGGAAGGGAACTTCCCTGTCGATCCAGAGAAGAGCATTGCCAACACGGGAGAAAGCGAGACGGGATGGGTGTGGGGGGCAGGGGGGTGTAGCAGGGCGGGAAGAATTGGCATTTGTGGATTTAAGAGCAACTCGGGGCAGATTTTTAGAATTGCATTAGCAAAACATGCTCCAGGAATGGTGATCAGTTGCACACATGCAACCAGCGAGCTACTGCCCACTAACGCAACTGTGTAACGGCATGGGGCCAACACCTGACCCTCGGTCTCCTGCCAGCTGCCCCGGGCAGAGGGATATCGCACAACACTAACCAGGTGGGAGCAAGACCTTCAGCTAAAGGAGAGGGATTGTCTGACGTGCCGGTGTTTGTAAATTTCATGTCCACCCTGATCACGCCAGAGAAGCATTCAAGCACGTGACACATGCAAAGAGAGGAGAGACTGACACTATACGCCCGAGAGCAAACCAAGAGTGGGTGAGCATCTGGATGGATGGCTGTGCAGATTTCAGCACCTTCCCCCCGAGTTCCCAGAGCAGGAGTTGCCAGTTCAGAACCAGGCAGAGACCCCTCTCTCCTCCTCTATGGACTTGGAAGTTCTCATTAACATTCAAAAGCCTGAGAGAACCTGTGGAAAGGAACCTCCTTGCCTTTCCTCCCACCAAGGGCCCCATGTCAGGGAGCCTGTTGAAATACAGCTCCCGGCATGGCTCTCTTTGTGGTATCTACATAGCAACTTGATAACAATTATTTTCTCCATTAACTGCTGTTAAAGATGGTGCCGATAAGCCTATCTGCATATGACAGTGCGACAGATTAGCGCCCAAAGTGCATGTTTGTCTTCATGTCCAGGGCGGATAACCACTGCAAAGCCCAGATCGATCGGCGCCATAAAGAACGCCCCTGGGTGACGTCACCAGCATTGGCAATATTAATACAGGTGATAAGCGGGATGATTAACATCAAATAAATCAATCCCTGGGCATAAAAGCCCTATTATTTTTGGCTATAAATCAAAGTGCCTGGCATATTGATTTTTATCCATCTCGCTGAAAGCTCTCGCGGCCGTTAGTGCCGCTCGGCGGTATCTGCATTATCACCTTTTTATCAAAGCAGCCTAGTGCCAGGTGCAGCTCTCCGGCTGCATTTCCACCTCCCTAACCCCCCAACCTCGGAACTGCACCGAGCTCCCCAATCAGATAAAGAGCCACTCGCTTCCTCTGTCAGCCCAGCCCAGCGGGGAGCAAAGTCTGCCAGCAACAAACCACTTCGCCTCAAAAGGAGCCTCCTTCAACAACCCCACCCCCGCCCCCCAAGACCACCTCAACCACCATCGCGCTTGGTGGATGACTCAGGGCCACATTCAGCGGGGACGGGGTCGAGGGGAAGAGATACAGAGGGTCATGGACAAGACTCTGGCTTGGAGGAGCTCATGCTCTCCTACCATGCTAGCTGTCCCTTATCTGGGAAGATTATCAGGAGATTTAACATTCTGCTCCCTTTGCTCAAGGCCTCCTCCCCGGGGAGCTTTCCTTCCCTTTATCTATGGGGCAAGTGCTCGGGTTTATTGACTGCCAAGTCAGAGGCCAGAATCTTCTGGTGGCATCGATCTCTGGAAAACTTTGCTATCATGGCAGGTCTCGGACTTTGACGGAGGGTGGGTGCCTGCAAGGAAATAACACCAGCACATGGCGATTGTGGAATCTGACTGCAAGAGCCACCTGGTGGGGTCCAGCCCAGGAAGGGGTGTGTCTATGATCCGCACCGCGCACGGGATGAGAGGGTGTTTCAGCTCCAGGCAGGGAAAAGAAACTAACCCTCTCCAAAATGTGCATCAGATCTAAGACTCTGGTACCCCTCACACCTGGGCACGACTGAGTTTATTAAGATCACCTGGCTTTGTCTTGGCACCACTGATCTCAAAGAGCACTGCAAACATTAACTGATTACACTTCGCACCCCCTCCCCAATATAGCTAGGATCGCTTTGCGCCGGCATGAAATGCAGTCACCTCCCAGGATGGGGTGCAGTGTGGCTGCGGATTATTGCTGCGTGCCAGCCAGGGATGCTGCATGATTGTTTGGACAGGAAGCAAATGACCAGGTAGCAAGCATCACGCCACTGGATCCATGCCTAACCGGGGCAACTTCTTCCAGTGACATCACCATGACACCCATGCAACATCATGTGCACGTTTCCACTGGGGAGAGAGACAGCTATCCACGACCCTGTTCCACGATCCTTAGCGGCTGCAGGATGGCTCCACTTTATGGGTCACTTTGTACCTGCTAGCCAATGTCACCAGACTGCACTGGCCCATTTAAAGAGGTGCAGTGCAGCCCTGTACCTACTAGCCGGATCACCCACTCCTGCATCCCCCGCACTCCCTTGGAGATGTATGCCTACTCTGGGCTCGTGCGCTCGAGGGGAGGGCTGTCCTCAGATCACTACACAGGGACGGTTAGAGGAGCTGAAACGGACATGCAGCCATGAGGCCAATTAGCAGTCAGCTCGGTGTCCGTATCACACCTCAAGTTTCCACGCTCCTGCTTCTGGCTCCCAGTACCCTCCCCCATACAAGCTCAGGTTGCCTCCACCAGACTGTCAAGCAAAGGGGCTGCCAGAGAGAGACGGGTCAAGAAACGGCCCTCCAGTGAACACAGGAAGAGCCCATCTCCTCCTTCCACTGGCTGCACTAGTGAAAGTTGGGGCAAAGGGGCACCGGCTGGACCAAAGTCGGAATTACTGTGCCAGGGCACCTTCCGATGGGAGGGTCAGGTTAGGAAGCATTTCGAGGTGGAGGCCTGGGTACCTTTTGCCAGATCTCAGGCCCCATGGAAGTTGCTCCTCGCAGGCTGATCGCCAAACAGAGAGCCGAACACCCGCCACGTTTGCGTGGAGTTGTGAACCCTGCGGGGCAGAGGCCTGGAGGGAGAAAGTGGTCAATGAGCCACGAGAGATGTCCCCTGGCCCAGCCAGCAGCTCCCCCGACATCAGGGAGGAGTCTCCTTATGCAGAGCCAGAGGGGAGCGGGTCAGGGATGGGCTGAGCATGGCGCTCGCAGATCTGCAGATGACAGTTTTGATGGCATCATTCTGCCAGTCTTGTAACACCAGATACAGCCCCAGCGAGAGGCCAGACTGGTCGCTCCTCAGCCACAGGGTGTCCAGGAGCAGCACATGTCGAGACCACAATGCTCTTCTTTTCCCACACCATTTCTGTGGCCTGGTAAAGGCCGGGGGAGCCAGCCCTCCAACAAAGGCAGCGATCCAACCACTAGAGAGCCAAGAGGAACTCCAGCTCCTCGAAGACAGAGCTGCCTGTGAGTGACTCCACCTCGTTTGCCTAACACCCTGCCCTGGAAAGCCACCGCTCAGATGCCTACTGGATAATCACAATCAACACTCACTAGCTTCCTCGAAAGGGGTCTTAGAGGCCAAGCAGTGGACAGGCCTTGGAGAATAAGCAATCCGGGTATTGTCTCTGGAACAGAGTTGAAGCACACTGGCCAGGGGGCGACCTGGTGGGCTTGCACTTCTGCTGCTTGCCTTACCGCTCCCTGCTCCCCCATTAAGTGGAAGGCTACTGACGCCCTTGGGCGGGAAGCTTCTCTCACCATATGCGGCTTTACACAAGAGCCCATGCAAGCAGAGCAGTAACTCCACAGCCACGAGCCACCAGAGCGGGACTTACCTTCACTGCCAGGAGGGCTTGAGGCATCACACTCTGCAGATCCGTTTTGGGCTGATGCAGCACCCTCTGTCTCAGCTTGGCTGTTCTCCTCCGCCGGGGCATCATCACCTTCCTCCATCTCTCCAAAGGAACCTTCAAAACACAAGAGGAGTCCGACAGGTAAGTGATGAGAAGGGGCAGAGCCAGTTGGGCTACATGTCCAGGCAGGCGCCCGGCACAGTGAAAGGCCCGGTTATCAGTTCCAATCAGGCAGATTCTCATCCTTCCTTTGCTGGGGAGGGAAGATGGGAAGCTACCTGTTGCAAACTCTGAAGCATCCATAGTCAAGAAGCCCTCTCCACAGGGGGCATTTCATGACACAAGGCTGATAAAGTGCCTTGTTCTCATCAGGGCTTGGAGAGCCACCCCCCAAAAAGCGTCCCCCCCCCAAGGTTTCCCACCTCTTCCACTTCCAGGGAAAGAAGCAGACACATGCTAATTTCTAAGAGATATGTTCCTCTGTCCTCTCCTTCCTGCTAGGAGCATAATAAGGAAGATGCTCCAGTGACACGCTGCGCTCCAGATGTTAGATACTCCCAGCCCCCACACACTCACTGTTCTGGGCAGATGGAATGGGTTCTTCCAAAAACCCTACTGCAAGAACACGGATTTCAAAGTCACACACACGCCAATCGCAGAGTACATTGAGGGCGTCCTGATAGACTAGCCATGTTTCCTCCCCATGAACTGGTCCATTACTACGGCCGGGGGAGAGACACTGAGTGCCAGGGTGGATTTTTTCTGGGGGAGGAGGAGCAGGGTTTATACCAGTTAGGATTCACTCAGCTCTATGTGCAAAAGGAATTCAACAGCTGAGAAGCGCTTCCCAGGGCAGACTCCAGTGTTTTCCATGCTCACCGCCCCCAGCACTGATCAGACCACTGGCAGCATTGACCCGCAGGCAGAGTCCGCAAGCAGCCGCCCAGAAAGGGACCAATATGAAACGAACGATGCCCAGGGTCAGGTCTCCAGGGCACTCGCATCGCAGCACTCAACACATTTAGCTGCCGGGGTGAAGGCCGTTTCCTTCACTGAGGGACCCAGATACAGCTCAGCCCCAGCCCCTCCAGAGCTCTCTGCCCTATCCTGGCTAGCAGGCTCACCTTGCGCCAGCCAACACAAAGCCAGGCTAGTTTTACTGTCACTTTTATAAGCTCTGCTGGCTGCTGCAGTCACACGGTATTGAAGGAAATATATTAACGCTATAAATGTCTCTCCGCCTTGTAAATGGTGCTCTCCAAACATGCGTCCACCAGTAAGGCAGGAAAGGAAGAGGGGCCGAGGCTACAGCTAGATAGAAGCTGCTTTTAGTTCCTTCTAGGTTCTACTCACAATCACACGGCTTGTTTGAACCGATCCGCTCCTGGAGGCGGGGAGCTCAGTTATCTCGGGCAGGGGGGTATTCTATTTCCTACCTGGTGGGACAGAAAGGAGAGGGGTCCCTTCCCCACCCCCCAGCCCCGCCCATCCAGAGTTAGAAGTCCAAGGGGCACCGTGGCTTCACCTGTGTGGGGTTTGCCTCCTACCCATCTGGCAAGTGCTTTGGTCTCACACTGCTGACACGGGGCCCAGCGGTGAGGATGTCTCTTGCCATGTTAAAGGAGTGCAGGGAACTGGGCTGAAACCCTCTCCACGTGTTTCGCAGACATCCCAACGAGCCACCCATGAGACGGCACGATCTCCCACAGCTGGGCACCAGGCGGACCGTGACAACGGAACGGGCCTCTCTTGGTACTCACAAAGCCCTTGTTTCACAATGTCCGTAGGGATAGGAGCAGCCAGACTGATTCCCGCGCTGGCAGCTGGGGCCCATTGGGAGGGGGACGGGGGGCAGAGGAGAGAAAGGATCATTTTGACATGCCCCTTGGGAAGTGGATGGGGCAGGGGTTGAAGGAAGCTTTCCCCACTCATGTTACTCTGGGGTGAGGCTGCCTTCATCTCACCAACAAGGCCGCAGGCTGCATGGGGCACTACTGAAATATTCGCAAACACATAAGAACGGCCAGACTGGGTCAGACCAAAGGTCCATCCAGCCCAGTGTCCTGTCTGCCGACAGTGGCCAGTGCCCAGTGCCCCAGAGGGAATGAACAGAACAGGGAATCATCAAGGGATCCGTCCCCTGTCGCCCATTCCTAGCTTCTGGAAGCCACTACTAAACATTATGTTTTTCCATGGCATCTTCCGGAGGACCTTAAAGCCCTTTACAGACATCAGTGAATTCAGGTTTGAAACATTCCTCTGGATTTTCATCATTCCATTTGACTGACAGCTAAGCCATGGCATGGCAAATCAAAGGAGAACAATGCTGGCTCCTTAAGGGACTGGGCTCCTCAAAGTGTGACGGATATCCTCTGCCCTCATTTTCTGTGCAGTCATAAACGAAGACAGGCTGAATTCCTTGGAGCAGAGTCTAACACGGCTGGGCCATGTGTCTATGCAATGATGCCACAGATTGGGGCTTGAAGCAGGGGCCTCCAGAGCTAGGAGCCAGAGGCCTTTCTAGCTAGGGTGGTAAACTCCCATCCTCTGCTGATCGGGCACCAAGAGGGGACGCAGAACGCACACACCTCAGTGGGTCACGCGTACGCCAAGCTCACCCCAGAGCTGGAGAAGGCTTTGCCCTTGCAGCCTCCAGACTGGAGCGTGGGTGGCGTCGTGTTTCTAACCTCAGCCAACCTCAGGCTGTGCCACGTAGACTAGCTCCAGCAGGACCAACCCCTCAGGGATTAGTCGGCCTCCTCTCGAAAAGCACCCGGTTCACAGCAGACAGGCCCACGTCGAGCGGTTGCGACAGGCACGGCTAACTCAGGGCAAATCCAGTGCTGCTAGCACTGGAGACAGAAATTCCAGACCAGGACTCTTGGCCAACTCGTGTGCGTGCTGTTACCCAGAATGCTCAGGGCACAGCTGGCATGGGAGCCTGGAGACCACACGGGGAGGTTTGGACATGCTAGTGCAGTGGCTTTCAGCCTGGGGTCCACAGGCAAGGTCTAAGATTTCCAAAAGGGTCGGCACCCCTTTCCCTTTCCCTTTCCCATGCCCGCTGGGGCACCTGGCACTGGCCACTGTCGGAAGACAGGATCCTGGGCGGGATGGACCTTTGGTCTGACCCAGTGTGGCCGTTCTGTCCTGCACCTCCATTTGAAAATTTTTAAGGGGGTTCACAGATGAAAAAAGGCTGAAAACCACTGTCCTATTGAAACCCCTCCCCACACCATGCAGCTGAGAGGGGGACTTCCATTGTACTCAGGAGTAGCAGGATGAGTCCCACCATACCAAGGAGGCACTGCCTGGCAGGTCACCCGCCCGTTAGACTACTTGCAGACTGCAGATTTGATCAGCCAGGTTCAGAAATAAAACCGTAGTCACTTAAAAAAGAGAACCCTGCTTCTAATGATGGAGTCGCCGAAGGGAATGCTGCTGTGATAATGAGCTCTCCAGCACAGAGAAAGATCAAACACAAAAACACGATCAAACCGATTCCCTGGGAACAGACCATCACATCCTCCAAGCCCAACCGGGCCTGGAATCTCCAGCCTCCAAATATGGCAAGCAGCTCCCGCCAAAAAGGGGAAGGGGGATAAAACCGCACAGCGCATTTCTCCAGACCTCAGCCACTCTCTGTGACTCCAGGCATGTATATTTACACCGGGAGAACAAAGGGCCCATAATCTATACAAAGCAGACAACAATAAGCGTGAATAAAGAGGCTGCCGGAGAAGGGAAGGCAATTTATTCTAATTCTGCTAATTTCAGTTCCAGCACAATTAAAAAGACTCTGATAATATTCAGAAACAATTGCCGGCTAACAAATCGTTTCTCTCGCGGTAAATGAAACATTGTTAGGCTAATTTTTTCTTTCACGCCTTCACGGCTCTTGGGCGTCTGATAAAGTTAACCCGATTCTCTCCTTCTTCCCCTCTCTTCCATCCCCGCTCTGTGGGCAGGAAAGGCCAGTCCTTACCAGAGGAGAGCAGATGCAGGGGGGGACGGGACACAAGCGACGTACACACTACAAGCTAGGATTGTGGTTCCCCTGCTCACAAACACATACTCCTGCTAGCTCTCTTCGAGCTACCACGAGTACCTGCAGTAACACAGGTAGGGGGAGCAGAAACACGGCTGAGCTGGTTTCCAGTGGGTGCATACTCTGCATGGGTCAGCCGCTCTGTGCTACTGAGGCTATGCAGCTGTTTCTACCCATTGAGCTAGCACGAGCAGGGACATCACACCCCTAGCTCATAGCGTAGACGTAGACACTCGCTCACTTGGCCTCTATCTATTCAGCTGTTACTGTCATGCCCAAGGTAGGCCAGGGCTGCTTGTACTCAGCACTGACCACCCAACCTCGCCCTCAGATGTCACACGGCTGAAATTCTGGGCTCCAGCAAAAGGCAGGAATCCTGTTCGGAGAATCCTTGCCTTCCTAGATGGACTGTCACTCGGGGTTTTGACAGCTCCTTTTGCAACACGGCCCCGATCTCGACCTGGGCCTCTGGGTGTTACCATAATACAAAATCATATTAATCCAGCCTGACAGAACAGGAATCTAATCAGACAGGGGCTTCCTTGAACCCCTCTTGCCAGATGGAATATACTGGGGCCTTCCACTCCTTATTCTGAATCAGGCTCATTAATCCTGATGAGAAGCAAAAACAAGATAGCTCGGTAGATTGAAAAAGGGACCAGGCCCCTTCCACCGCCAGGCCCCAGATCAGGATTAGGCACCCAGCCACATCACCAGGAGATGGACACCAACATTGTAAGGTGCATCCTCACCCCCACAGCTAGGCCCCGGTTAAAGAGAAACCCCAAAGACCGAATGAGCCATGGAACATCTCCATCTAACTCCAGAGTGGCCATCTCTAGGGCTCATCAGTGGGGCAGTGTGGAGGTAGGTTGTAGTGTTGTTGCATGTACTGTGTTTGTTCTGAGAACAAATGGATGCCGGTCTCCAGGGAAGTCAATCTGCGACCTATTAGCACCAAATTCACTCTTACAAAGGAAGGGGGGTAGGGTGGAGGGCCCCCCGCATGTGTTGGTCTTGTTGAACTTTAGGTCCATCTCTCTCCTTCATGAGATCCTCTTCCAGT